TGTAGAGGTGGACTCTCAGGGTAGGGTGGGATATCCCCTCCATTTTGGCCTCACTTTGAGAGCTTTTTTTGAGCTTGGGAGATGATTTCAGAGAAAACCAGTGGCACCATCGTGTTTCTCGCGAACTTTTGCATAAGAATCAACATTCAAATCGCAAATCCCTCACACATGCAACATCTCCATTCTGGTGAACGAACCCAGGAGAAATTCAGGGTTGAAAAGATAATTTTAGTCCTATAGTAGTATTTACCATTACAACTATCACAGTATGGTATTGGACTTAAATTATCTTCACTTCATGGTTTCCCCGAGTCCAAAATCTGGTAGACTCGTAATATACAGGGTGATTCAAAAGTCCCGCACAACCAGCATCAGGCACCCCCCTGTAACTTTGGAGTAAATTGAGATAGAGACTTGAAATGTTCTGAGTAATCCTAGGTCAAAGGAAATAACATTAATTAAATAAAACCCAACATTTTTAAGGGACCACTATGGAAAAGGGCGAGAAAATTAGGGGCTGCAGGGTGGGGGACTTTTGGATCACCTACCCTACGCTTACCACAATACTGCATTTATACTGTCCATACTTTTTTCTTATGTATTACATCTGGGAGAGGGATGGTGGGTTCGGCCAGAATTGTTTCCATAATTAAATATATGTACATGCAAAGTTCTTAACGTGTAGTGCTTGGGATGACTCATTTGTATTAAAGGCTTGCTGTCTTTTGAGAAATTTTTAGGAAGAAAGAGGAAAAAAGGAAAATTTCTCGCAAAATTAAGATGACGTCATTTGTGGTTTGATCGTGATGTTTGTGTTCAAGCGATGTTTCGCAAGGAAGAACTGTTTTTGTGGATGTTTTCAATAGGCTCGCTCCTTTTATACGGTGACACTGAACCGCACTATAAGGTTGGAACGTTGAAAGAAGTTGAAAACTTTTTTCTTCTTTCTATTTACACGGAAAAAAACAGGGTAGTCGACACAACCAGCCGCTGGTTGTGTCGACTACCCTGTTTTTTTTCCGTGTATATACAATTTTCAAAGGGAATTTTTGAACATTTTTGGCGACATTCTTACAATTTACGACTTACACTAATCGTGTTAACTATACTTAATATTCGTGCTGTATGTTCAAAGACACATTCACGGAGTCACACTTCTAATTTTTTCCATCTCTCTTTTTTCTTAATTCCACCACAAATGAGAGCCTTCCTTTCCTCTTGATATTTTTCCACATAATGTTTGTGCCACACAAGCAACTGCAAGGTTTTCAAATCTTAACCTAATATTCCCATCCCTGTTCTCATTTTACCCGTTTATTCCTGTTTGCCGAAGTTCAGACTCGGAGAGTGGAAAGTCTACTCTCTAGTATTATATGAACGCCATCGGTACTACCCCGTCAAAGTCCATAATTAATTCGGGGGTTTTCTCGGAATCAGTCTTTTACTTTAAGACTGATGGTTCAAAAACTTCAGTAACTCCTGAAAAAGGATACGTTGAAAGTTTAGCGAAACTGCAGTCTCAGGCTCAGGTTGCCCGTCAAGATTGGGAAAATACGGAAGACGGAGTCGCCTTTAAACCTTATCATTAAAGCACAAGATAGAATGAGGGGAGGGGTCCGAGAACGAAAGGGAGAAAGCGAGGGGGGAGGGCGAGGGGAAAATAGGGATGCGGCGACAAATGAAACGATAATTAATGAAGATGACATAGCGAGCATTTTTCAGGCTGAGCATTTGTAGGTAGCCCTAAAGCCACCGGGTAATTACGAGTGTCTTTGGGCACCTGTGTTAGACTCCAATCATTTTTCCACGATGTTGTGTGCCCCCTCGAGAGAGTATTTCAGGCAGACCCGCGAGCGGTTTCGGGGTGGCTGTTGAAACCCCTTTCCCGATCTAATCTTGAAAAAATATTGATGTTAATAAAGATTTGTAAAAATGTTATACACATGACACATGCGATAGGATTAGTAGGAACTCGAGGTAAAACAACATTTTTTTTTAAATTATTATTATTCTTCTTTAGAAAAAGTTAATTAAGGTTTTTCATCCATGGAAGGGTTCTGCAACCTTTAATGGGTATCGGGTCAGGGTTAGTACACATCCATGCTCAAGGCTTTCAAATTGTCAGCAACTATAAGACCAAGTTGAAACTAAATTTTTGAATTATTTCAGTCAGATGTCAGCTGCAAGGGTCAACTTAAAATTGTATTAAACTGTATAATAAATTTGTCTTCTTTAAACTGTACGTCACTGATCTGACTTCCCTGAACATAGTTTTGTCGTATTGAACAAGTTTTAAAAGTGAGTGCAGCAAAAATTGCAGCTGCCGGCCGGGGCGTAGCACCAAGGCCATATTTACCGTACGGATGCACTAGGTGGCTGGCGCGCGCCGGGGGACCCGCACCTTAAATTCTCCCCCTGCCCTCTCAACCTAAACTTTTTGATTTTTTTCGAAAGTATATGGTATTTTATTATGCACTAAGAATTAAGTCTAAAAGTCACCTATAATTAAGTCGCCCCTTTTTTCCTTCACACAGTGTGTCAAAATATGTATCACATTGCGTTCAAAAGGGGTTGACATTTCAAATATATTTCGGGGAAGGCCCTCTGCGGGCCGATTATTGAAATTTAAACCAGCCCGATAAGACATCGAATTGCGATATATTGCACGGTTAAGATAGGGCTATGTCTTGTCGTAAGCGGCGACATAGAGTCGATGACATTTCAATAATCGCCCCGCAGGACTGGGTAAGTTCACCCTCTATCACCGGCAGGTAATAATTAGGGAAGCCTACGCCTACATCTGCGTCTATGGGTCCAAAAATCATAAATCCAGCCTTGCGTGGCACAACGTTTTTTTTAAAGCAAAGCAGAATAATCAAACTCATCTACAATAGGCGTGGCCTATTATACAATTCAATAATTTTATATTACCCCATTTTTGTACGCCATTTTGAACGTCGAAACTCATATTCACCCAAAATAGTCTCAACTCATTTAAAATAGTTTTTTGGTTCTATTTGATGTGTACTTTTTTATGTCGTCCCCTCTGCTGAACTTAACAAATCAACCAAAACGATAGCTCGAGGAATACTTACCGGTGTTGTTGTCATCGAAAACATGTTCTTAGGCCAGCAGGAAATCGAGATGACGAAATGAATATAAAGCTCCTTTTTCTTCTCTTAGGTTTTTTTCGTCAGAAAATTCTCTTCTTTCTTTCGTCTCGCTTCTTGACAAATTCTTCCAAATGAAAAAATACACATTATTACGTTGATTCAAGCTTGAAAATCGCGGTAAGGGAATCAATTTAGACCGTGAGTTCCCCAGCGTTGCGTTGACAGGAATCGAGACATCTATTGTTGAGTGCGACCCCCCTTCCTTCCCCGTTCGCACCTTTCCATTTCCGCCCCTTTAATTAAGTTTTTCCTTCGCAGGAACGCAGTAGCACGCGAGTGCGTTCAACACCCCGAGGCCTTGTAGGTGGAGGGGGGGGGGAGGTTGAGGAAAGTTGCAGGTTGTCAGACAGGTATTGAGTGTTAAACCTCTGCCCGCCCTTCGCCGAAATGAGGAACAGTCACAAAATTTCATCTCCGGTTTTCAACCCCACTCATGCCCGCGGCAACTAGATGTCTTTGCTCCAATAAGTGGGCGAGAAAGTAGAAGAAATGAGCCTTAAGTATCAAATAACACGTTTTTTATTATATCATGATGATTCTTTACGGGAAAAGATCCTCTTCACTCATGAAAAAAATGTAGGATCACTACCGCTGTGTGATATTTATTTTTGTGCTGGAAACTGAAATTAACTTTTAGGGACGCATTTGGTGCATGGGTCTTAAAATTGTCAGTTTTGAGGCGCATGTCATCATACATTCTCATTTGTTTCATAGTCAGCTCACTGATAATATTCGCATCATTTCCAACATTTTTAAAGATTGATTTGCTAATGGGAAGTTTTCACCGGAATTTATTCTTTTTTTTAAAAAAGGAAGCTATGTATAAGTATCACAAGCTTGCGAATAAATTCTATATAATTTATGTAATATTCTGATAAATTCGAGATTCAGTGAATAGTTTGTTATCTTTTCGGTGTTCAATTAAGAAGCAACTACCTACAATTAGATTTAAGACAGAAATTGGGTTATTGATTCAGAATTAAGCTGGCCTTGCTTAGAATCCGGAACAAATGACTCCAGTCTGAGCCTAATTCAACTTAGTGCGTATCACGGAAACGATCTAAGTCAAAAAAATTTACAGGTCATTCGCAGGCTAATCCTGATGAACATGTTCAAATAATCTATGTCCTTTAAAGGCATAAAATTAAATTTCCATCACAAAAATATTACAAATGTATTAAACGAAAAAATATGAAAAAAATATTAGGAATAATCCAGCAAGTTTAAGTCGCCTCAATTGAAATCGGCATAATAAAAATTTATGATTTCATAACGGTCTATTGCCCACACTTCAGGCGGCGACGACAGCCGCGTTGAAATGCAACTATTAGCGCTCATCGCTTGCCCATTTTGCCTATACTTCGAATTGAAGGAACTATTTTTTCTCTTCACTCACGAGAATGCTGGTCTGATGGATGCCTCTCAATGGGAAAAGAGATCGCGAATGCGTGAGAAGAGTCAGTGTTTCTTTTATTAGTGCACCAATTTTATGACCATCCGATTCTAATTATCGTTGAGCGATGAAATTTTACTCCGAAATCTTACGAATTTTAAACTTTCAAGAAAAGGTGTTAAAGTTATAATTTTGTACCAAAATAAAAAAGAAAGTTTGAAATAAGAGGGAGAGAGGAAAAAGTGATGAAAATATTAATTATTACCAAAAGAATACCGTCGAAACAGACGCTGCTTCCATGCACCACTAAAAATGACGTACAAATTTACACTCGAGAACGAAATCCGCGTGCTTCCTTCCCCACCGTGTCGGAACAAATTCGCTCCATTCATTGGCATAATTTAGGTATTCTATCCCCGAATCAATTAATCCTTACATTGCCGAGCTCAATTTTTTACGAGTAGCCATGAGACCACAATCACTTCGAATGACCTTTTCGTGTTCGATAGACATCTTTCTCATCGTTGATTTTTTTTTCCCCCAACGCGATGCAATTAGCACAAATCTTGCACACCATCGAATCCGTATAAAAGCAGTCAGTCCATCATCCAAACCATCAGTTCTGCAATCACCCTCCAAATCTGTGTATCTTACCCGCTGTTGTTCGAGTTCCATCATGAATTTTCTGTCCGTGGTCGTTTTGGTCTGCTGCCTTTTCGCCGCAGTGCTGTCGGCGCCGGCTGAATTTTACACCTCCCAATTTGACAACATCGATATCGAGAGTATCTTAAACAATGAAAAGCTCCTGGATAACTACTTCAAGTGCCTTATGGACGAAGGACCCTGTACCCTGGAGGGACGGACACTGAAGAGTAAGTTCACGCTTGCGTTCTTAATTCTGTTAATGGGGGAACGTCTCTCAGGGTGTGACATTTTTCAGCAACTTTTGGAAACCTTTGATGTGCAGTTTTTGCTATTTCAAGAAATGCTTATTGTTAAAAGTTTCAAAATTACTTGGAACCTTATGGCAGAGAGAGAGTTTAAACTCACTTTTTGATGTTTTAAAGTTGAATTTTAGTTGTGAATTTTGCACAGAATATGCTTTCTAACTAGTTTTAGTTGCGTCCCCCTGGTAAAAATTGGCGATAAGAGCTGCGTTTCAAAATACCATCGGAATTCTTATAGCCGGCTAAAGAAGGCTACAGAAAATCATATAGCTGGCTGTAGAATACGGAGAAAATCATACGGCTGGGCTATACGAAGCGATAAAAAATTATGCAGCCTGGCTATAGTTCCTATCGCCGGGCTTTACACTTTATCACCTGGCTGTTGCTTTTTCGCCATCGATTATAAAAGGCTATAAGAAATTGTGTAGAAATTCGTGTGCTTTGAAAATCATTAAGTTTGATAAGGAACCACCTTAATATTTACGAGACACACATTATATTTTCCTTCAATGCATATTATTTTCCATCAATTAAAATGAGAATAATCCATACAGGATGTGCAAACATTTCAAAGTCATGAGTTGAATAACGCTGACTCCGCCAGATTAAATATTAGAGCCTAATACAAAGCGGAGCGGCGACGCACTGGCGCCTACAAACCTAACAGGGATACTTCACGCATTGCGCAACGCGTGAAGTATCCCTGTTAGGTTTGTAGGCGCCAATGCGTGTTTCGCGCTGCGCGCTGGCCGCTCGCCTGCCACGGCGCTTGAAGCAACTATTTCACAACAGAAGTATTGCACAGTATCATACGAAACTGCATAGGCGCTCTAATAAATTAGTAATGGCAGGCATCCATCAAAAGTACGGAGCTTTCCTCGCAAAATAAATCAATAAGATACTACGGCCCAAAAAGAGAGCAGTATTAGAAAAACTCACTAAGTCTTAGCATCCATAATTAGTAACGTTTAGCATGCACTTTATCACCTGGCTGTTGCTTAATTGCCATCGGCTATGGAAGGCTATAAGAAATTGTGTAGTTGGCTATAGAAGCTATTGGAAATCTTACAGCCGGCTGTAGGTCTATGGTATTTTGGAACACAGATTCTACTGCCAATTTTTACCAGGGTCATGAATATCTCAATCTTTTCAAACACTCTAGGCGCCTTGTCGTTCAAGCCCCTAATTTGAACTCTTGACAACAATTTTACTTCATATCTATAGGTAATTTAATAATTTCATATAGATCATAAGAAAGCTCCTCTAGCAGCCTTTAAGAACACAGAGTAATTGCAGTAAAATGTGCGAAAAATCTTGGGAAGCTACGCTAAAACGCAGTCCTAAAAACATTGAATAAAAACTTGATTATGAAATTTTCATTTATTCTTCTTTTAAACTTTAGATATCTGGATATTACAAAATACGATTACATTGCAATTTAAAAATAAAATATTGTACTTTACGAGATGCTGTTTATGAATATTTGCATTATTCCAAACATCGAAAATGTTGCTATCCTTAAATATTCTGGGTTTTTCTCCATGCGATGCTTTCTCGAACACGATCGGGATTCCTAGTCGGTGATTTTTCCTAAGTCGGATCCAGCAATTTGGCAACACCGGATCTCCTCCATTTAAACTTATGCTAAATAATCGATTCTCGTCGGAGCACCTGGTCCCGCCACGAATCGATACATTTCCATAGGTTTAAATGGAGGAAATTCGGTTTTGCCAAATTGCTGGATCCGTCAATGGATTTTTCTGGTTGAATTTAATTTGATTCGTTTATTTAGCGCTAAATTTATTTTTATGCTGCTATATCTGTGAGTCAGTACTTTCTAAAAGCTGACTATCATCACAGTACTATTCGTCACCCGGGGATGAATTGAAGACTCTAGATTAAATTATTTTTTCTCGTTATAGGTTTGGTACCAGATGCATTGAACACCTCTTGCGCCAAATGCACGGACAAACAGAAGCAGATTGCCCGAAGAGTAATAACATTCTACTTGGACAAGTACCCTGCCAACTCCGCCAGAATCATCAAGAAGTACGACCCAGAGAACAAGTTCAAGGATGGAATCGAGAAGGCGCTCCTTGGATCTCGTTGATCAAATACTGAGTAGAAAGAATTTCAATTTACACTATAGCAGCAAAATACGTTACCATATCCCTCCTTACTAATTTATTACTATTATTTATGGCTATAATTTTAAAACTCACCCATTATTTTATCGACAATTGCAAGTATATAGGGAGTGTCAGCTAGTCAGCATGGTGATTTTATACCGCCTAAGTAAATTTATCGATGTCCAAAGTGCAGAACCACGTATCTACGTTTGCATTATACTGCCTTCCATACGTAATTACTTAATAAAACTACTACAAAACACTACAAAACTTCCTACTACCTACTACAAAACAAGAAGACGTAATTTCTTGAAAACTTCCCCGATTTTTTTTCTGTCAGCAGAGCATTCTACCTAACTTTCAAGAAATGAAGTTGGCTCGTTTATTTTCGAAAAAATAAAATAGTAACGGGAATTTTGAAATACTGTAATGTAATACGTAAATTCGCACTTCGGCCATCTTGCAGTGTTTCATTTGATCAATTTACCGGTAACGAGGAACAAAACTTTCCCCCCTTTTTTTCAATAAATAAGTTCACACATTCACTCGATATTTCACTCAAATTTTAGACGTACATAATAGCAATGAACCATTCAATGATCGTATATAATTGCAGCTCATTCTGCAGTGCTCTGATTTTTCAATGGTCAGAATCCTTACCAAGTTCTTCAAATGCGAATCATAGCCTTAAGGCTGCTTAAGTTCTTCGCTCATCATTCTGAGACACTTAGCAGTTTTCTAAAATTTTCGTGAATAAATACCCAGTGATGTTTTATACATGTTGCCACCATGACTAGCTAGTTTTAGGTATGTGAATATTTTGTGTACATTATTGTATGTATATGATTTTATTACAGTGAAAATATATTCAATTAATAAATATTTATGAAAAATACAAGATAATTTCAAATAATTTTTGCCTTCAATTTGTAAATCCATTGTTACTAACCTCATTAATTTTCTAATCACTTTTGGAAATCAGCTTATTAATCCTGACTGACTGCCTCAATGGCGTGGTCAAATTGATCTCTCAGAATTCAACTAATATTTTGTTGTTGTCGGAAACAATTTCATTCCCACCCGCTAATGTGTAGAATTGAAACGCTAGGTGCCAGTATCATGGTCCATTATAATTCTTTCTTTTTTTGCCGTATGTTTTAACTTAGTTAAGCTCATTACGGTTGCGTCCGTTCAGGTGGACTGCATTTTGAATTAAGAAAATACCAATTCTGGCTCATACGTAAAAACACCTATCTGCATAGGTGAACTAATGACACATATCGACGGTGCAAGTCGGCAATCACATAACTCGGTTTGCGACGTCGTAGACTTCCTGTCATACTTTATTTTTTAAATGGAAAACTACTCAACGGCAATTCTTTAAAACTGTCATGATTTTTCTTCTCAATGCGAAGAAAATTCTGCAAAAACTTCAAGAAATAATGTCAATTTGCTCTCCTTTAAAAAAATGACGTAGAGGCGGAGATTTTCAGACACCGCAAACGAGTTATGTGATTGCCGACTTTCACCGTCGATATGTTCTCTCTATAATGAACCAGAAAATAAAATTCCTAATTGAAAAATGCAGTCAAATGGATAATTTCATGGAAAACGAATGATTCATTGAACTTTATAATCTACATTCACACAAAAAATCATACATTTTTCCACAATATAATTCTTGCACATACTTTTCGTCAGTGGCGTGCTTTGCGATATATCGATAAAATAGCCATTTAAACCTATGGGAAGGGATCGATTAACAGGGTGTTCGCAACGAAAACCTCAATAATCGATTCTTTAGCACACTTTCAAATGGAGAAATGTCGATAATCTATCATTCACGCCTCGCCACTACTTTTTGTCTCAATTATACAGTGCAGTGACCAATCAGAGAAGTGGAATTGTTACTACAACCTTCATTTTGTTCGTAATTTGACCATGCAAAAGCAGCTTTACTTTTACCTAACCTTTTTAATTGGACTATACATTTTGCAATTGGGAACTATAAGCTCCAGCTCATCCGCACAAACACCTACGTGCATATAAAAACTCGGCTCATCCGTAAAAACACTTACGTGCGTAGGAAAACTACTGGCACACAAGTTGTTCCTAAACTGAGCCAGAAACTGTAGTTCCTAATTACGAAATGCAGTCCAATGGGCCTGTTGTAAACTTTTGCTGGAGCAAAAATAAAAGTTGTTTCTATCTGTAAATGTCTCAAAAACCACGGTGAGCGCATTGGCGAAATGTTCACCTACATCGTAGTATCATTCACTAGAAAAAAAAAGAAAAAAAAAAAAAAAAAAAAAAAAAAAACACATTGGATCCAGAGTCCAGACTCTTAAAAACATCGACAAGAAAAAATACTCTTGATTCAATCGGATTTTTTTAGATTAAGAACCAAGCCTCTTAATTTGAGCGGATTTCCTTTTGATTTAAGCAAAAATCTGATTGAATCAAGAGTATTTTTTCTTGTCAATGTTTTCAAGAGTCTGGACTCTAGATCCAATGTGTTTTTTTTTTCCCAGTGTAGGGACGTGAGTAACTTGGGTTTATCTACAATTTTATCAAGAAAATATTTTCTTGGGGCGATCGAATATCTTTCAAAATAATCGCCAATATAAATCGAAATGCAGTTTATAGGATTTCGTTTCATTTCGCTCAGTCACCGAAATCAACGGAAATTTTCGCTCAAAATTCTTTTCACCAGTAATATCTTTTCTATCCTTTATCTATCCTTTTAGAAGAGGGAAGCTCAAAACAACGCAATTTGTTGCGCAGATTGTGAAGTTATGAGTGCAATTCAAATTTTGCCGATGCGCTCATCGTGATTTTTGAGACATTTACTGAAAGAAACAACTCTCATTTTTGTTCTACAATGAAAAAAAAAATCTCGGTGTATTTACTGAGAAAATGGTAGTATTACCAAGAATTCAGGGTTCTATTTGATCCCAGTTTTTTCTTGGTAAAATTACCATTTATGGAATTGGTAATTTTACCGAGAAATCTCGGTAAAATTATTGAACTTTCTTGGTAATTTTACTGGGCCTTGGTAAAAACGCCAATATTTTTTATCGACTGTGGTATAATCACCGAGATAAAATGGCAAAGTTACCGGGAATTGATTACCGATAAAAGCGGTATTCTTACCTGGAAAAACAGTAAAAATACCGGTTTTTAGGTAAGCTTACCAGTCTGTCTTGGTAAAATTATCAATAATTTGTAAAAAAAAATGAGATGGTAAAGGTACCAACGGACCGTGGTAAAAACGCCGAGAATTTTTTTTCAGTGTAGCAAAAGTTTGCAACAGGCCCATTTCAAGACAGCATGTGCGGGGCCTTTCGTCGGTGTTTGTGAACTCATACGACCATGTTAATGGCACTTGCCTTGCAGCGGCAACGAACCGGGCGACTGCCCCGGGAACAAGTCCCATTCTCATTTTTATCGAGATCGAAATCGCTCGAGAGGGATGACCGACGTCGGACTTGTCGCGGAGGCTCTGCGGTCCGAGTCCAAATTGTGGGCATTATCTGCGAGAAGGATCTGTTATCAAATAAACGAAATGTTCTTTCAGTGCTCCTTGGGTCGTTGCTCGGAGGGAGGTTTAGGCGGGACCGGGGCGGTGCGCGGCGACACCGTGATTGACAGCCTGATAGAAGTGTCGGTTGCATCGGTCCGGTAGCGAGGGGTGACAATATCGGCCGTGGGGTGAGGCTCCCAAGCTCCTACAGCCTGCCCCTAAAGTATTGCTCGAGGGCTCGATCGGGGTACAGTGCTTTTGTAGGGAAAGTATGGACAACTCGAAAATTTGGAGGTTAATTTTCCAAGACCCAGTCCAACTATGGTATAGGAGGTCGTCCTGGAGGGTCTCAAGATGTGAGAATGGTGTTGGTCTTCTAGATTTTACCCTCTTTTTCTTCAAAACAACCATGCTGCAACCAAAACTGCTGTTTTGCTTGAAACTACGTCATTTTTTGAGCACTTACGGCTTTCTCATATGTCTCGTCAATAAGATGAATTGTGCTGTTGTAGCTATTTCAGTGATTCTATCGATAAGAGATTGAACGGATTTTGAAAGAAACTCGATTTTGAAAAGTTGACGCTTCTGCTTTCTTCGCTATCACGGCAGAGAACTGCCATGGTGGCGAAAAGAGCCGTAAGCCTCAAATTTTTAAAATCGAGTTTCCTTCAAAATTCGTCTACATCAAGACCAATCCGCACAGGTCAGTCATTCCCGAGGACGAGTTTCGGTACTCTACTGCGCAGTGACGTAGTATTGAGTGCCTGCAATGTATTTCTTATGGGAGCACCCATTGTGACGTAGCATTGAGTGCTGCGAGTTAGGGCCGGGCGGAGGAGTGGATGTCAAAAAAGCTGCGCAATGACTGACCTGTGAGGATTGGTCTTGGTCTACATTATATTTAGTCGTTGAAGGTTTTACCTGTTAAGATCGTAAGAGAAGCTAGTGGGCCTTCATTTTTTGGATATACAACAAGCACATTCATTGAGCAAGAATAGTTGAATCGAGGCGTTGTTCATGACGCCGCGTCGTCTTAACGCGCTTGATGAGGTTAACACCGAGTGGGATTATTAAAATTCCGTGTTGAAATGAGAGGTTATCAAATTATGTTTACCTATGGCCAGCATAGTCCCAGACCTATAGTCCAAGATAGAGCATTTCCATGCTCCATATTACCATCCATATTTTGGAGGTGAAGCATACCTTGGGTACCCAAATCCAAATTGACGTCTACAACACGTGGCGGTAAAAAATGAGAAATCGGCGAAGGGTTTGGGTCATATTCAAAACTCCGCTAATGGAGTAATGAGCGACCTACTTTCCTTCAGCAGAGTCATATGCCCCATCTACTTTTACGCAGTACCTCTACAAAGATAAAAGACAAGACGGCTCATGCAGCGCGAATAATCCCTATTGTATACTCATCTCCCGCTCTTGAATAATCCAGTAATGCACGCGGGAACTACGGAGAGAACTTGTTAATAAAATTGATGCAAATAGAAGACAATCCCTGGAGTGAGGTGGGGCCGTTGCAGCCGATTGGCAGATTTTCCTTCGACAGCAGGCAGCGAAAACCGCTGAAAAAAAGGACGTTTCCAAGCTTCAGCGGCAACGTGGGAAAGCTGCTACCGGCGGATACCTTACAGACGAAATCGCAAGGGTTTCATTTTCCTACTTGGCCTGGATGGGGGTTGAGGGGGGGGGGGAGGCCGCTCATCTCCCGAAGCTCCTTTTCAATTTACAAAATTGGTGATCGCGAAGTCGACTGTGAT